AAATTATACATGAATAACTAATTGCATTACGAATTACTGACATGTTATCAAAGTTTCACACAGGAAACGTTGAATATATATTTTTTTACTACTTAGATGGTTGGACGAGCTCACAGCCCACCTGGTGTTAAGTGGTTACTGGAGCCCATAGACATCTACAACGTAAATGCGCCACCAACTTTGAGATATAAGTTCTAAGGTCTCAGCATAGTTACAACGGCTGCCCCACCCTTCAAACCGAAACGCATTACTGTTTCACGGCAGAAACAGTCGAGGTGGTGGTACCTACCCGTGGGACTCATAAGTCCTACCACCAGTAAAAAAAAAGGATTTGAAATATGTTCATTATTAAATCCTTTATCAAGAAAATACGGTAAGGCCAAACCGGCTTACTGGTATCCAGGGTTCAGGGTGCAATCCCTCGTCTTCCATATTTATGACCAGACCAGTTGGATTGTATTCTAAACACCCGCTAATGGTAAAACAATGATAATTACTGTCATATTAGGATCACCCTTATGAAATGTTAATGATATAATCTATATACGTGTAGGGAAAACAAATATGAACCATGAAACGACATATTTCCTTGAACAATACTCTCTGGTATTCGTTGCGATAGTAATAAGGAGTCATTTCCACTAAGTAACCTATTATGAATGATTACGTCCACAAAAAAGGTTCAACGGTCACTAAAGTATAAATAAATATCTTATACCTTTAAACAAGCAATTCTTGTATATTAATATATATATAATCTGAATCTCGAAAACGGCTCCAACGATTTTCATAAAATTTAGTATACAGGGGATTTCGGGGGCGATAAATCGATCTAGCTACGATTTATTTTCAGAAAATGTTTTTTTATTCGTGTATTCAATAATCAACTCTTCCCGACATCTATTGGCGAATAATAATACTATTTTTCTTAATTGAAGGCAACTAACCGCTTTAAAGACACAACAAGATGGCGTTATTAAAAAAAAAACATAGGTCACCATTTAATTATACTTAACCAAAAAACCAACGTAATTAAGACGCAATTAAAATTACTATTACTTTTTCATTTCTCGTTTAATGTATTCATTGTATTATTTTCGAAGTTTGGGATAGATTACTGTATCTATAGTCACGGACAATATTTGAATCACTGCTTCGCCGTCTTCAGCGTCTTCAGTACATAGTATAAAACAAAGTCGCTTTCTCTGTCCCTATATCCTTATGTGTGCTTTAATCTTTAAAACTACGTAACGGATTTTGATGCGGTTTTTTTTAATAGATAGAGTGATTGAAGAGGAAGGTTTATATGTATACTAACATCCATTAAATAGTGAAGAAATGACGAATAAATTACAATTACCGAAGCGAAGCGAAGCGAGGGCGAGTCGCTAGTATTATCTATAGAAAATATTTTCAGAAATTTAAGTACATCTTTTTACACAGAAAGAACTAACCGTATCTTGATATCTGACAATTTGTTTGACTTGGGTTTCGATTTTTACTTTAATAGTATCCCAGGTGCTGGTTAAATTGAATCCGAGGTAATAAATAAAACGATCATTAGACCTGTCGTCTGATTGATCTGAATGTTGGGCGACGAAAGTAAAGCATGAAAGAAGAGTGCATGCGGCAGAGATGCGAATGTTAAGATGGATGTGTGGAGTGACAAGAATGGAATGTGTACATCAGAAGAAGTGTGAAAGTAGCCCCGGTGATTGACAAATTCAAAAGCGGACGGTTAGCGTGGTGTGAACATGTGAGTGAGAAGATGCATGTTACTAGGAGATGAATGGAAATGGTAGTGCACGGTAGAGGGAGAAAAGGTCCACCGAAGAAGACATGGACAATATTACATTATTTTAAAATTGGATTAAATGACTTATTGTGAACAATACGTAGCAATAAGAACCTGAACAATAAGAATTGTAATCAATAAATTAAAGAGCGGACGGTTAGCGTGGTATGGACATGTGATGCGTAGAGAGAAGATGCATGTGACTAGGAGATGCATGGAAATGGTAGTGCAAGGTAGGACGAGGACGACCGAAGAAGACATGGATGGAGTGTGTAAATGACGATATGTGAGAGAGAGGAGTGAGTGTTGAGATGACGGCTGATAGAAGAGAATGGAATAGAAAAATTTGCTGTGCCGACCCCACCTAGTGGGATAAGGTGGAGATAAAGAAGTGGTAAATAAAACATTGAATGCGAAATTCTGTTAATTATGTCTGGGACTGGCAAAACACTTTGCTTAACACTATACCAATAGACATCGAATAACAAACTTCTAAATCTTAAGCTACTGTTACCTACTTACTGTTAAGTTGGTCTTTTGTAAAACAACAAACAAATATATATATATATATTTTTTTTTTATTGCTTACATGGGTGGGCGAGCTCACAGCCCACCTGGTGTTAAGTGGTTACTGGAGCCCATAGACATCTACAACGTAAATGCGCTACCCAGTCTCAGTATAGTTACAACGGCTACCCCACCCATCGAACCGAAACGCATTACTGCTTCACGGCGGAAATAGGCGGGGTGGTGGTACCTACCCGTGCGGACTCCCAAGAGGTCCTACCACCAGTGATAAAATCTTGTAAATTAGCCGTGAAACTTTGTCAAGCTTAGTTGTAACTTCGACACACTATCTGAAACGTACGTACATTAAAATTTGTTAGAGGGAGCGCGCCGCCAGTCTTACCCGTTAACCACAAAATTTTCATAATCGAGACAAGAATAAAAAAATCTTAATTCTTTTTTTTAAAGATAGTCATGATGTAGGAAGCGAGCGATAGTTTTTTTTATTTTTATTGCTTAGATGTGTGGACGAGCTCACAGCCCACCTGGTGTTAAGTGGTTACTGGAGCCCATAGACATCTACAATGTAAATGCGACACACACCTTGAGATATAAGTTCTAAGGTCTCAGTATAGTTACAGCGGCTACCCCACCCTTCAAACCGAAACGCAATACTGCTTCACGGCAGAAATAGGTAGGGCAGTGGTACCCACCCGCGCGGACTCACAAGTTGTCCTACCACCAGTAATTACGCAAATTATAATGTAGCGGTTTGATTTTTATTACACGATGCTATTCTTTCACCATGGAAGTCAATCGTGAACATTTGTTGAGTACGTATTTCATTAGAAAAATTGGTACCCGCCTGCGGGATTCGAACACCGGTGCATCGCTACATACAAATGCACCGGACGTCTTATCCTTTAGGCCACGACCCTTTAGGCCACGACGACTTCAAAAATAAATAGTTTAAATCATAGTTTAAAGCATTCCGTAACAAAATTCATGCGGCGTACCTTCGTAAGATATGGTCTTTGATATAATCACGTATAACTATAGTGACCATACTTTTTGTACGTAAAAACAGGACAGGGAGCAAAATAAAACTTAACTATGTGTGGTGTACTCTGGTCACTATATTGGTGGTATTAATGTTCTAAATCGATATCACAAAAATCTATAGAATCTTGATGACAATACAATTTCCAAAATCAATCAATATCCCGAAGTCTTGAAGATTGAGAAATATTGTAGAAGGGCCATGTAGCTATAAAGTAAGCATGGTCGCTATGTGGTGTGGTCTGGTCACTATAGATTAGAAGAGTTGAAATAATACGTCCATTTAGGTAGTTTGAAGGTCCAGTTTATTGTGTCAAAAGGTGTATTTAGTTACAAGACAGTAGTGCTGAAGAAGCACTTTAAATAAGGCTGTTTACATGGCTGAATGGTTACACACTACATATGCTATTATAGTACTTAACTATAGGTTACTTATGTTACTTTTTTACATGACGCTTAGCGATCAATGTTTACACTACTCGACTAGTCTACTCTATCGGTAAAACAGGTTGTGTTTTATCTTAAAGGTTCGTCCAAAGTTAATGTACACAAAAAAAAATTCTAAACGATTATTTGCGAACTAGATTATTATACATTTATACTATGTTTATACATTAAAATATTATATTTCAGTATAATTTTAAATTTCATTGAAAATCAGTACATAAATAAATAAATAAAAATCAGGAGATTTGCGTTTAAAAAAAAAAACAGTACTGTCCCGCCAAAAACAGTACGAATGGTCACTATACGTATAACAGATGTCAACCCGGTCCGCTTCGTGACCGATGAACCTGCGACCATACTCGTGTTTGTCGTATAGGAAAGTATTTCTGATTAATTCTCCATTACACCTCAATATGAGAATTGGGCTTATAACTTCGCAAATTGATTGGAACGTGGAGCTTTTGGGTACGTTTTTATTTGTGAGCTTATAAATAGAAGAGTTCATGGCTTCCTGATATTGAATGATTACAGAAGTATATAGACACAATTTTAATAAAGCTGGTCGCCTTGAGAGATATGTTTCCAGTAGACAGTGGCTTGGTTGTGCCCTCTGCATTGAAAACGACCATGAGTAGCAGTGTCCACTCATCGTCACTTGGCCCGTATGCTCGTCTGACTACGTATACTACCCTACCTTACCTAGTATACTACCCTACCAATCAAGGGGAACCGGCTAATTTATCCACTTAAAATCAAGTGAGCCATCTGTCCTTCTGCACATCTGCGACAAAAAAGCCACCCCAATACTAAAACCGAATTCCAAACTCACAAAAGCTCAGCAACCAATCACTTACAACAATAAAAGTAGCGAAAAAATCATTCCCAGCTTTCTCAAGTGAAAGCTAGTTTCTGTGCTTTAAAGCTCCCCGTAGGACGATAATTCTGGGAACTCTGTCGCCCCTTTAATGATACAACTTGATTATATTGCCTCGGACAACTTGCCCAAGTGTTTTTGGGCTCGAGAGAGTTCTGAAATGGTTTTCTTTGACAAATATCGCTTTATAGTATCCTGGGTCGATGGTTTCAAGAGTACAGCTCATTGGCACTACGGGACTACATTACAATACATCCAAATGAGACCAGTACCGATCAGAGAGGTCCAGAATCACCAAATATCTTTGTTTTGTTACAGTGCCACCGAATAAGACCTTTATTTATGGTGACGAGGAACACGCGACCCACGGCACTCTCCTGACCTTGATGTGCACAGCTTTGGGCGCAAGACCAGCCGCCACAATCGAATGGTTCAATGGCACTAAGAAACTGAGCCCCGACGAGCATAACATACATGTGAGTATTTTGACGTTTTGTTTTTTTCTAGAGACAGATCTTTAGGTATCTACACGGGCGACTAAGGACGCTGGTGAACTATTTTGAATAACTAAACAGCCTTCTTTTCTCAGACTTAACCCCAACACTGGTTCCCAATACTCCTTCTTTAAAATCCGTTCCTGCTATTAATACACCGAAAGAGTCCTTTAAGCCACGGCCACTTCACAAATAAATATTTTCAAATCGACGCATTCACAGTTTCAGAATACGTCCTATATACCGAAAAAAAAGGCTGTTACTAAATTTACATTTTGAAAATTGGTAGAAATTCTGTTCAATGATTCAGCCTAGTGTTTTAACAGGCTGGAAGTACCTCTTCTTGGTAATTTGAAGTTTTGCGTTGAGATAATCTCAAAACAATTTGGGAATATGTTGGGTAGCATAATGATACAATTGATGGGTAAAGAGGAAGCGGGGTCAGGATATTCATCTTCATCATCATCATCCCACAGCTGCCTACTGCTAGACGTAAGCCTCGCCCAATTTAGACTATTAAGCCCCTTCGTCCATTTCTTACCAGCCACCCTTCAAAAGTCATCGCACTACCGGTCAAGACATTCAGTCGAGGATTAATATTCAAACAGACCGCGTCTATTACAAGTATTGATTTACGTGACCAATTTATCTAATGAAATACGTGAAAATTTAAATAACGAAACACGTTTTGAAAAATCAATATCTGCTCGTAATAGTCAGAAAAACTCCCCAAGAAGAAAGACTTTAATTTCAGTATAGAAGCAAACGTAGGCATAAAAGATTCACGCCCGAACTGAGACTCAGCGAAAATTTGATAGCTTTCATAAAAATACAATCCACGGAGAGCCAATAAGTCGAAGCTTTTGGATTTCCAGTAATAACCGAAGATATTTTTCTCTTGCTAGACGAATAGAGGTGAAATTATTTTACGAATATTGAACAAAATTATTATTATTGGAATTTAAACTTTGCGTGGAGCGAACACAAGATGGTGTTATTTTATAAGTAGGTCGTAGACTTAAGATTGTGCTCATTCTACCAGTGGCAGGGGATATTTGGAGCGTGACTCACTATGCTACCCTCTTGGGCGTGAAGCTTGCTAGGACCTCATGCCTCGCTATGTCGTATCTATGGGTAGGAAGATCTCGTAATATCAGATGAACATTGAGCGCATTTTAAATAATAAAAACACCGTCGATACTTTTTTTTATTGCATAGATGTGTGGACGAGCTCATAGCCCACCTGGTCCTAATAGACATCTATAACGTAAGTGCACCCACCTTGAGATATAAATTCTAAAATCTCAGTATAGTTACAACGGTTGCCCCACCCTTCAAGCCGAAACGCATAACTGCTTCACGGCAGAAATTCAGGGTGGTGGTACCCACTCGTGCGAACTCACAAGAGGTCCTACCACCAGTAATTAGCAAATTATAATTTGGCGGGTTTGATTTTTATTACACGATGTTATTCCTTCACCGTGGAAGTCAATCGTGAACATTTGTTGAGTACGTATTTCATTAGAAAAATTGGTACTCGCCTGCGGGATTCGAACACCGGTGCATCGCTCAACACGAATGCACCGGACGTCTTATCCCTTAGGCCACGACGACTTCCATGTGTAATAATGGTTGTTTATTAACTGTTTAGCATCTGTGAAAGTGCCAAAATGTGGGAAAATGAAACAAAGCCGCTGAACGTAACTTCTCGGGATCCTCCAAAAAGTTCTCTGCAAAACCTACGACCAGTAATAAGTACTCAAAGGTCTCCTTTTATTATATCTGTTCCATCTAACCTTCAGCACCGATCTGTCCTGACCCATCACTAAATCAGCTCAAGGAACGCCGCTTCACTTTGCAATCGGAATACATTAAACTTTAAATAGATATTCTTCGGAAGACATTAATCAATGTCACAATGGATTTACCATAAAAACTGGGCGACTTCCCGACAGGAATTATTTTATCATCAATCCGCCAGACTCCGGGGTGATCAGGGACGCGCCCATGTTTTATAGTTGAATTATTTTTTGTTGAAGACAATTAATTTTTCAGACGCTTTTTCGGTGGCGTGGTTGGGCTGACAAGTCTGTCAATGCCACGGTCTGGCAATCATTGAATGATATTCGGACTAAGATATTGCAGATCAAGAGGTTAGGGGGAAATTATAAATTATACTTAAACATTTATTATAAATATAAGATATTCAAACAGATGAAAACACGAATGTCTTGAAAGCCTTTGCAAAAAAACGAAAGCGAGAAAGTTGATATTGACATTTGCAAACCTCTACCACTAATATTCAAGTTTTGTCAGTACGTGACAAGTGACAAGTGATAGTTATTGATTTTTTTAATAATTTTATGACCTGGTAACTGAGACCTTTAGGTCAAGTCTTATTTAAATTTTAATGAAAACTTTTTTTATATGATATTAAGAAATGAAATTAAGTTGATTAATGTGAAACATGGCATGAAATGAAATGACATGAGATGATATGAGATGAAGTATAAACTCAGTAAAATTGTGGTTATTAACTGAGACTTTTGCAGTGGACTTTTTGGAGGATCCCGAGAAGTTACTTTTAGCGGCTTTGTTTCGTTTTCCCACATTTGTGCACTTTCACAGATACTAAACAGTTAATAAAACCACCGCTATTACACATTTAAACCTGAAGAAACACTGAATAGATAAAACAAAACAAATCACACAACTTCACTCCTCGCGTTCCCGCCAAAAAGTCTTGTGATAGCTATTTGACGAGCACACCTTAACCTTGTTGCTGCGGAACATACTGAATGAGTCCCTCGATCAAAGTTAATTATACGAATCAGCGGACTGCGAGTCTGGTACTATATTTCGTAGACACGTCACGTTACTCTGTTCATTGGGAGCTAGTCTATACTAATATTATAAAGAGGAAAGATTTGTTTGGTTGTTTGTATTGAATAGGCTCCGAAACTACCGAACTGATTTGAAAAATTCTGTCACTCTTTGAAAGCTACACTATTCCAGAGCGACATAGGCTATAATCTTTTTTGAAAAAAATTGGGGATCCTTACTAATCAATACTTAATATTATAAAGAGGAAAAATTTGTTTGTTTGTTTGTATTGAATAGGCTCCGAAACTACTGAACCTATTTGAAAATATATTTCACTGTTTGAAAGCTACACTATTCCTAAGTGACATAAGCCATAATCTTTTTTGAAAATTATTTGGGTTCCTTACTAAAACTCCAATAATGTAACCCAAGGTGTAAGGTAAAAACATTGCCTAAAATACTATTTACATCGCGTGCCCTGCAAAAAATATTGATGGTAGAATAAAATAATGTACTACGACTTTGTAGAACACGTTATTATTTACAAAAAGTGTTGCGACAGCATATGTCTAACTATTATAATTATGCCGCAATCAGTGATCTTTTATTTAAAAAAATAATACAACGTCAAATATCGTTGAAATTTTTTTTAAAGACCCGAGCGTAGCCAAAGCCGGCCGCTAGTTCTGAGAATAAAGGGATATTTCCACAAATCATGCGTGCTATGTAGGTGGTAGTGGTAATGGCGGCAGCGCACCAGATAACGCAGCACGGGTAGATCTCCCGTGAGGAGAACCGACAGTCTGCTAAAGACTGCTGCTGCTTTTTAATCTTTAATTTGTTGAAATCTAATACGCCATAATAAACACTATAGATAGATTGATCTGATCTTTACTGCACAAGGACGTAGTATTATAATCACAGAATACATGTACTCTAATTAGATTATAATAGTATTTTTTTGTAACAGTAGTTCAAGGTACTTACTGCATATTGCCACAGACTATTTTTTTGGAACGAAGTTCCTTAAAGGACGATACCCTAACCGGGAAAAAACGTCCATAACGTTAGATTTTTATTAGTAATGCACACAGTGTATGTACTTAACTTTGTAATAACGTACAAAAAATAACATATTTTTTTATCATTCATTGACCACGATCTCGGAACGTTCGTTTGCGCAATACACTAACTCTTATGCAAACAACCGTGAATGAAGTGTACCATAATAAGTTCGCACGCTACCGAATGACCGTGGGTTGTTGCGAAACCTCCAGTTTTATTTTCATTATATCTCGAATAGAACTTAAAGTTAATATTTTTATAATAAGGAACTTCGTTCCTATCCGGTGTCCCACGACATCACACATCTTTTTTTTATCAGCAGTCGTCGTGGCTTAAAGGATAAGACGTTCGGTGTATTGGTATGCAGCGATGCATCGGTGTTCGAATCCCGCTGGCAAATACCAAATTTTTCTAATGGAATACGTACTTAACAAATGTTCACGATTGACTTCGACGGTGAAGGAATAGCATCTTGTAACGAAAATGAAACCCGCAAATTTATAATTTGGGTAATTACTGGTGGTAGGACTTCTTGTGAGTCCGCACGGGTAGGTACCACCACCCTGCCTATTTCTGCCGTGAAGCCTCCTCCTGCCGTGAAGCGACCTCTTTGTCGAGTTCGACGAGTACGGTTACCGGGGCTCCTAAGCCTGCTCCTAGTGCTAGAGCTGAAGGCATCTAATGCAAAGGTTATTGGATCTGATGGATCCGTAAGGACATGTCTAGGTCTATCGAAAAGTAACGCATTAAGCAGTATAAGTTTTAAAAGATAGAACCACCGAACCGTATTCTTCAGGAAAACTCACCCATTACACCAGCGAGCCACGAGTTATTCCCGAACCACTTCTAAAGGGTTGACTCATAAAATAATTAACTTTACTCTCAAGTCGAAATTTGATTACGCGAGCTCCTAATTCCTTAAACATTTAAATTCGGTTAAAGTATTTTACATTCAGCGAAATTCCGTAATCGAATCAGCTCATAATGAAATGAGAATTCAATTATTATTGTTACGCCGGTAAGAGTATCGCCATCTATCGCCGAATAGTCGAACGAATATCGAAGGATCCAGAATGCTCGAGAATTACAACGCC